GCTTCTCCCAGATGAGGATGAGAGCCGTGAAGCCGATGAAGAACATGGCGGCGCCCACCACCGTCTTCCACTCGTTCGTGCCCCTGTTCATCTCGGCGAAGCTCTCGTTGAACTTAATGCGATACACTGAACAGAAAGAGCAAGCCATGTGTGCAGGTAAGAGCTGTGGGGCCACCTCTCCCCACACAGCCGGGGCAAAGCCCACAGCGCCGAAGACAGCCCAGGTGTGCACACACGCTCCCGCACACACGTGGGGGGGCTGGAGGAGAGAGGAGATGCGTGCAGTGCAATCCCCTCCTTTCCAGTGCAGGGTCTGTCCAGCCACGTCACGCACGTACCCTTCCTACCTGACAGCATCCGCACCAACAATAAACCCAGGCCCGCCCTCAGCTGCTCGGCACCCAATTCCCACTCCTTCCCGGGGCCGAAGCCCCAAGCACAAAGGGGCCCGGGCAGAGGTCCAACCAGCTGGCAAAGCTGGGGCAGCAGCCCCGGCCCCAAGCACACTGGTCTCCAGGCAGCGCCCCACGGCTCAGGCCCGGGGACCAGTGAATTTCTCTCACACACCGTGTGGGCTTCAATACCCACATTCAACTTTTTCCTCGGTGGAGAGGCTGCTCCAGGCGGCCTTCTCCTTCTCTTTCAGGGCCTTCTGGCTGGCAGAGAGGTCCTTCCTGTGGGCCACATCTGGCAGGGGATAGTCACGCCGGTCCATGTAACTTGGGAGAGCATAGTCCTCGCTCTTCACGACACCTCCTGAACACACATCGGATGAGCAGTTAGAGCCACGTGCAGGTCCACAGTCACAAACTGAAATACGTAAGTGTGCACCAACCACTGTCCCAACAGCCGAAGGACTGTCATGTGAAAGCGGGAGGCCTGTCCCACATGGCCCAGACGGCAGAACGAAGATGGCGGGGGGGTGGGGGGCAATTAACAGCAGCCCCCTTCTCAGCTGAATCAAGCCCTGCAGGGCCATCTGCTAAAGAAGGAATTCTTTTCACAACGGGCACTGAGAAGCCACAAGGGCTCCGGGGGGCCTGACCCTGCACTGCAGCCCGCACTGAAGGAAGGCCCTTCGGCAAGTGACCCACACCAAGAAAGACAACAGCATCAAACTCAGACAAGAAACAGTGTTTGGAAACAAAGACACCTGGCCACAAGGCCACCGCGGCACCGCTTCTCACAGCAACAGCCCGGCCGCCGCGCACACCAGAGAGGCCAATGGACCCTGCTGCCCCTCGGCAACGTGCCTCCGAGCTAGTTCTCTGTCAGTCAATGTTCCCTGAGTGCCTACTCTGGGCGACACACGGTTTGGATGTCTGGGATCATCAGTGCCTACTGATCCATCTGTGCCACCAGCAGGCACAAACAGTACACATCGCAGGCACAGAAGTCAGGGCCTGGGCGAGTGCTCGGGAAGAAAAGGGAAGCCAAGCGGAGGAAGGGAACGGGCGGAGAGGCGCGCAGGCAAGGAAGAGGCCACATTACAGAGAATGAGGGGGACCCATCTTTTCAAAATGGAAAGACAACTATACTCAAGTCGCAGAACATCAGGGTTTGCTTTCCGTTTTAAAAATGTACACCGTGTGTATACTCAGACGCATGTAACTACACACAGAAACCTGGCAACGTAAACCTAGGTTGTTATCAGTGGGAAGAGGACAAAATGGGCATTTCTACTCATAGACAGAAATTTTAATGCCTCAAAATGAGCATGTACTCAAGTATTACTCAAATAGAGAAAAAAGCTTAAAGAGCAAAAAAGGAAGGAATGTCTTAATTTTTACTCAGGGTTTTCCCACTGCTAAAAGCTGTTTTTTCAATTCTACCCCACATCTGCAAGAAAACTGTGTGTTCCAAACCGGTCTGGAGGTCCCAAGTCCTGCAAAATGCTTCGCCTCCATTAGCTCAGTCCCAATGATTAAAATCTCCCCAGTCACATTAACAATAGTAAAATGAAACACTAAGCCTTAAGTGTGGTATAATATCTCTAAATGTTTATTTTTGCCATGCAAATAACTAGCATACTTACATACTCAACCTCAGTCCAAAAGGACTTGAGAAGAAAATTACAAGAATTACTTTCCAACTTCAATAGTTTCCAACTTCAGATCCTATTAAAATGATGAATGTACTTAAAAAACAGTTGTACACTAGCACTCTGCTTACACGGAACGATTAAAACAGACACAAATCAGGGTGATGAGAATGGCCTACAGGTGACTGTGAGGATATTGGCAGCACCCAGTGAGTCTCTAGAAGCCCCTGACCTGGGCACTCAAACAGGTGCCTGGCAAAGCTGTAAACGCTCACAACCCTGAAGCACTCCAAGCACACAACTGCCTTCTCTGGAAACAGAATGGCCAGCTGGTGGTCTCAGGGCTGCTGGCAGTTCTTCAGCACCCTGGACCTGGCCCCCCAGTAAATGGGGGATGGGATGGGGTTCACATACCGAACATGCCTTTTAAAAACAGGGAGAAGCAAAGATTTTGCATTCTAGTCCAAGTTTTGTCATTCTTACCCTCAACCCGGGTGGATTTTTGGCTGAGCTTCTGCTGAGGAGTTTGATGATTCTGAGCTCTGCAACCAGGGATGTCACCACACAGATATTCAAACTGACCACAGCGGCCACCAACGGCACTCCAAATCGCGTTACTATTTTACGTGGAGAACCAGTTTATGTGCTCAGGTTCACCATGAATAACTGAAAGTTAAAACCCAAGAACAAGATGCATCTAATGTACTGCAGTTTTCTCCATCTGCCTACTACGCACTGGAGACACAGCAACGAATCTGACGGGCAAGGTCCCTGGCCTCAAAAGGTTTGCACTGGAGAGGCAGAAACATACACCAAACCCACAGTATGTCGGTGCTCTAAGGAAAACAAAGCACAAGGATAAGGCAAGACAGGGAACATCTTTAGAACGGGCGGTCAGGAAAGGCCGCTCTAAAATCCCATCTGCACGGAGGGCAATGCTGAGGAAGAAGCGGCCAACCACACCTCCGGGGCTGAGGAACAAGCCGCAGGGGCTGGACCCGTTTGGGCGGCTGTTTTCCAAGACTGATGTGAAGACCTCAGAAAGGCCGGTTGCAGATCCTACTCCAGGTGCAAAAGGCCACTGGAAGGTTTCCAGAAGGAACCGACTTAAACTTACTTCCTCTGCCAAAAAACAAAACCTAAGAATAAATCATGACCGAAGGCACTACGGGCTTTCCTATAAAAGATCAGAATGACCAAAGGGACGTGCCGCAACTGTGGGGGGCGACTGAGCGGACATCCTGACTGAGCTCATTACCACACAACTGTGTCGGCCTAACAAAATCCACAGAGCATTACACCTAGAAAGATAAACTCTACTTTCCATAAATTGTATCTCAATAAATTAAACAAAAAGCTAAAGAAACACACCAGCAAAACCAAAATGAAATAAAATGTAATCTTTGTGGTGACTTCCTAAGCATTTAATGAAGGGGTGTTTCTTTCTGTGCGTGTCAACAAAACACTGAATTTTTCTTTACTACTTACTCATTTAAATAATAGGTACTTCAATAATACTCTTACTAAAATGACCTGTGTTAAAGAGTCTGGCTGGGTCCATAGCGTATCCTGGGCAGCATAAGGAATGTAGAAAATGTAAGACAACAGGAACACCAACCAAAGGACACAATTTCAAGGACAAATTCCCACGTAAAGCAATTCAGGTGGTAGCAGGACAGGTTACTGAGCCCCTAGACACATGAAGCCTCCAACTTCATCACCTGACCCCTGGGTGACAACCTGCCAGGCTGATTTCCATCTTCTTGTGCTTTCCCTCTGCCTAGAAGGCCACTCCCCTCCCAAGGGTGAGGTTAAACCCCCCAGTCCTGCAGAATGGCAACGCCTCTCCTCCAGAAGCCTCCCCTGAACCGGAGGCCAGGCTAAACGCTTCTCCCCAGGGGCCACCTCTTGCAGAAACACTGTCCTCAAGTATCTGTCCCTCTCCAGATTGGAAACACCCCAGTGGAAAGATTCCACATCTCATGTTATTTTTATTCTTGGTGCCTAATAGTGTCTGGTACAAAAAAGATACTTGATAAATACAAAACTGAATTTGCTATGTACACACACACCTTACATATATTTCAGGTGAGAAAACAGGTTCCTAAACTTAAGTAGCTAGTCCAAGACAGAATGAGATTAAACCCAGCTCATGTTAGAGAGTCCCAACCTCCTTCCCTTCCAGCCCCAACAATGTAAAGACTACTGAAGATAAATGGTCAGGAGTTAAAATCACGTATGGTGACGATCATTTCAAAGGGGTGGAACATGAACCTGAAAAAATGGGAAGGGGGCGATATCTTAAGTATAAGCAAATGAAGACTAATATTGAGTATGAGTCAGAAATACTCTTTAATCCAAAACTATATGCCCTGTTGAAACACTTATACGCCCTGTGAAGTCTCTCAATCAGATTCAGGATCTTAGCCATCTGTGTTTGAAACTTCAGCACAAGCCCTTACACCCAAAGGGTGCAAAATGAAATACTTTCAGCCCATTAAAATGAAAAGTTACACTTACCATGTGCTCTTACACACACTGAGGTGGAAACCGCTCGCTTGCCAATTAGGCTAAATACTCTGGTAGCCAACATTCTGAAAGATAAAAGTGTACACCTTGTGCATGAATGAGGGCAAACACCTTTTGGGAATGATTCTTCTTGTTGCCCCCAGTGCATTCTGGAAGTAATGCAATTCTTTTGTTTTCTTCTCCCCAGTGTAAAGATCCAATCTTCATTACTGACTCAGAGCTCACAAAATCACCTAAGGCAAGGTTTTCTTGACAGCTTCATTATGGAGCTTCATTATAAATCAAGTGCCATAATGTACACACACTTTAGGCAATTGTAGAAGCTGGCTTTCTTTAAAATCTTTAACAAGGAGACTGAAAAAGCTAGAAGCCAGGAAGCACTGTGCAGCCATGATGGGCTCGCGTTGGGAAGGGAGGGGTAAACGGCGCAAAGGGGCTGTTGGCATGCACTGCATTCAACGGAGTATTTGGTTAAAAACCTAGCATGTATAACAGAATAGGAGGGGGAACTCGGGGAGAACGGCTGCAAAGGTGCTGCCCCGGGTCCTTCCAATCCCTGCGGACAGCGGGTGACCTGGATGACCCACCGCTCGGCTAGGCCCTTCCTGCTTCAGGTCCGCCCCCCTTACCTGTCCCCCCCTTTAAAACGACCTTTCAGGGGACTGGACGACGAAAAGGCTGCCGAACGCATTCGGAAAAGAGCCCCTACTTCGAGCAGAGTACACAGAGGCAGGACGTCGGGGCTAGAGTCGCCCCCGGCTCGCTCCCTCTCCCCCGCCCGGCCGGCAAGCGGAGCGCCTCCCCGGAGCCCCGTTCGGCCCGGGCGGACGGCGCGCGAACCCCGGGGCCGCCTCGCAGAGGCCGGCAGGGCGACCTGCCCCCGGGCCCGCGCCCTCACAGCGGGCGTCCAAGGTCACAGCCCGACACCAGCCCGCGGCCGCGGCGCGGAAAGTGGGGCCGGGCCTGACGCTTCCGGGCGCTCCCGGGCTGCGACGCGGCGGACCCCGCGCCCAAGTCCCCGCGTCCCGGCCTCAATGTCACCGGGCTCCGGGCCCAACCGCCATTCAGGGCTGCCGCTGGGCCGCAGAGCCGCGGGCTGGCACGCCTATGGCTCCCGGGCCCGCTGAGCGGGCCGCCGCTGCCGCCAGTTTACCTGCCGCCACCCCGGCGCCGGCTGCCTGCCGCGACCGCCCTCTACTCCCCGCTGCAGCGACCGGAAGAGAATGAGGCCGCACCGCGGAGCACCATGGGATCGAGAAGGACGCCCCCAAGCGCCCGGCCGCGCAGAGGTCACTGGAGCGGAAGAGGGCAAACGCCATCGGCGGTCGTAAAAGGCCGCGCCGGGCTGCTTTCCGGCGGGCGCTTAGAGAGCGCTTTCCGGCGGCGCGAGGCGAGAGGCGCGAGTGGAGTGTGGCGCGGGCGCGTCCCCTTCTCGCGGTGACGGCGGAGTCCGAGGAGCCCAGCCTGTCGCGGGGCCGGGCCTGCGGGGCGCGCCGGGAAGCCGCCGCCTCGTCCCGCTTCTCCGCCGAGGCGCCGGGCGGCCGGGCAGCAGGTCCAGGGCTCAGGCGGCGCCCGGGGCCTCCGGGGCCCTCCCGGGCTCAGCATGCCCGGGGTGAAGCTGACCACCCAGGCTTACTGCAAGATGGTGCTGCATGGTGCCAAGTACCCCCACTGCGCCGTCAACGGACTGCTGGTGGCCGAGAAGCAGAAGCCGCGCAAGGAGCACCTGCCCCTGGGCGGCCCGGGCGCGCACCACACGCTCCTCGTGGACTGTATCCCCCTCTTCCACGGCACCCTGGCCCTGGCGCCCATGCTGGAGGTGGCCCTCACCCTGGTAAGCGCGGAGGGCACCCCGGCCCGCCCTCGGAGTCCGCGGGAGAGGAGACGGGCGCGTGGCCGGCCCCCGAGCTGGCGCCCCGTGGTCCGGCAGGCGCGGGGCGCCGGCGCTCGCGCAGCAGCCGCGAAGGAGCGACCTTCGCCTTTGGGCGGTTAGTCAGACCTGCAGCCTTTGTAGAAAGTCGTCATTGGCAGGGAAGCGATTCGGCAGTGTTTGCGTTTGGGATGGTGAGTCGGGGGAGGTTAGCCGCGCGGTGCTGGGCCTTCAGCGCCCGAGCTCCGAAGCGCGTCCCGTAGCCGCCGCGGGGGTGAACCCGGGCGGGTCCTGTGTCGGTGGCCGCAGCCCCAGCGTGCAGACCCGCAGGAAGGCAGCGTGGCCGCCAGGCACTGCCTCCCCGGACTGGGACCGCGTGAGCGCGGTGTGAGGAGGGTCCCTTCCCGTTAGTGAGCCGTCGGGAATGCACCCAGGCCGTTTACAGGCCGAAGACGGTGTGTGAAATTTAAAAGCGGGGACAGGCGCGCACCTTCTGTCCACCACGCTTGTGTGTGTGTGTCTACTTGCCGCAACCGCTTTGTTAAGTGCGATGGGAAAGCGCGCGTACGGTGAACCGGCTGGTGATTGAAGTCCAGGGAGCAACCGGTGAGTTAGGGGGATCAGTGCAGGAAGAAACCGCCTGTAAATTCCACTGAGTTCTTACAGCCTTGGGGAGAAATAAGCTGTAGCCTCAGACCTGCCTCAATACCAGAACTTTGAATTGAGGTACTGTTTTTCATTTAGGTATAAAACTGATACTAAAAAAATTAATCTGTGCAAAATGTAAAGTTTGAGAAAGTATAGGTAGAAATTCTTTGTACCTCACACCAAGCAAAGTGAATCCATTTCATGATTCACTTGACTGTGGCACCCATGTAAATTTCTTGGTAAGCAGGGAGTATCCTTGGGCAGAGTACTGGCCTAACATTACGGGCACACGTTTGAAGGAAAGATGATGATGCCTCGGTTTCTGATTTATACGTTGGGACAACAGTGGTGCTATTCACTGAGGGAAAATGACGTAGCGTTGAAAGATGAAAATCGGGTCTGAAGCTCAGAAGATGGATGGGCCAGAGACACAGACTGGGAACCGGTGGCTTCTCAATGACGTGATGCCATGAGAGCAGGACAGTGTCGGGTGAGGAGACTGCTTATGCACAGAAGCCTGAGAAACTAACTTACACCAGGTCGGTGCAAGGAGAGTTGGCAGGCTGATGGGGAAGACGCCAGAGGGGTGGGAGGAAAAGATGTTGCTTTAAATCCACATGAAATTCTAAAAGCTTCTCACACAAACTTGAGTCTTGCTTGGAATTGCAAAATTTACTAATTCTTCTCATTCTTAAGTAACCTTTACAGAGTTAAAGGGTTATGTTACTATTACAAGATAGGAATGCTATACCTAAGAGAATTAATACAGTAACTATAAACAACTGCGTTGGAGTCACCTTTACATGAATTTTCCCCACGGCGCAGGGCTGCCTCCCAAACCGCTTACCTGGGGAGGGAACATACCCAGAGGGGACCTTGAATCTTAAGGCAGCCCTGCAGCTACCGTGTTGATCTTACTCTCTCACTCCAGCCCTCCTGGGCTGCCAGCACTTCCCCCAAACATGCCCTTCAGTGCTTGAGTTCCTCCTCCAGGCTGCATTCCCGGCCTAGACTTCTTCTCAGGCAGAAAAACTAGCAGGCTGGAGGTCTGTCCTTGCCAAGCACTTGTGATTTATGCTAGCTTGTCTACGTTGACCAGAACTTTGAATCATAACCACACATATGACAAATAGGAGAAGGATGTCAGTTGAATACAAGTTAAATAACTCAGTAAAGGTATAAAGGAAAATTTGCAATTTGAGTTCATCCAAAAATTTTATGTTACAATTAAAGTAATTATGTCATTCAGCTTTTGCCTTAGCGACTTTATAATCTGAAAGGCAGTGAAAAATCTCAGTGTGTGGCACCACAGTTTATCAGTTTCAGCCGTGGAAAATGTAATCTTAGTAAAGCACCTAAATCCACGGAACCGTATTAAACAAGGCCTTTACTCATGTTTTTTTTTTTTTTTGTTCAGGGGAGTTTTATATTGTAATTATTTTTGATAAATGGGAAAGACTGGATATGTAAGTCCATCTAAGGGCAGCATCAGATTCCTTTGAAAGGCTTTTCATTATTATTTTCCATTTTTAAAAAAATCCTTGCATTTCTGGGTGCTTTTTATTCTTTTTTTATTTAAGTACTTATGCCTGTTACTTATCCTTGTAGCCCTTTGACGTAGGTAGTGACGGAATTATTTCTAATAGCAAAAACCCATAAAATGTTAGTAGGAAAATTAGCATGACCCTGCTGCTCCTCTAAGCCCCTTTTGTCCTTTACCTCTGATCTCCTAGTGCTGTGGAGTAGCTTTCAGTTACGTGCTGCTCAGATGGCTTGCGTATTTGTGGATTGGTCTGGTCACCATGACAGTCCAAAATTCTTTCTGCTGCCTCCGCATGTGCCTGCCCTGCTCATCGGCACAGATTGCTGTCCTCTGGCTCGTTCCTAGGCACCCTGGTTCCTTCTCCCCTAGTTTACCTATGGTGGAACTTTTGTGTGCTAGCCTGGGGGAGGGCGATGGCTGCTCTGGGTCTTCCTTTGAGTTCTTCCCCTGAACTTCACCCTCTCCCCATCCTGTTTGCCTCACAAACTCCTCTTTCATGGAGTCAGCCCCTTTGTGTTCCTGGAAAATCAGCAGCACGCTTGAGAAGGGGCCTTTCATCTCAGGGCAGCCAACAAGCCCACTCCTTTCAGACTCCAGTGGCTGCTGTGGCCACAGACAGGGAGGCTCGCAGACAGCCTAGGCCTGACGTGGAGATGTGGGAGCGATGCCCTCTCCAGAGTGGCTCTTAGCAGTCCCCTGCCTTGCCTGCCGGGTGGCTGTTGTGTAGTCACGTGAGGCAGCTGGTAGTGCTCTGAGAATTGTAAAGTGCCTCACACGTACCGATGTTAGCAAGTGTGCCAAGAGAAGCCGCTTGCTTTATGCAGTTTGATTGGGAGTGAACGAGTCGCCCCCAGCCCCTGTGGTAGCTCCGTGTGTGTGTCTGGAACTGAATGAGCCAAAAGCAGCTTGGAACAGAGGGGGGTGGGCTTGTGCCAAGGTGGAAGTGTCCTTTCTCTGGAAAAGTAAAAGAAACTGCACGAGTAGGTGCACAATTTGGACCTTGTATTCAGAATGAGTTTTACTACGTC